TGGAGGAGATGGGGGTTGAGGCTGAGTTGCGGGCGCGAGCAACGAATGGGGGTGAGGCTGAGGGGCAGGGGAAGGATCGTATTACGTTGCGGAGAGTTGAGTGATCGGTGGTGATGAGGGTTTGGATTGGAAAAGTGTTGGAAGGCTTGGTTATTGTCGGGCCACTTCCAATACTATCTTTCGAGGTTTTGAAACTATGTCTCCGCACGGATTTCAGGATGCCACTTGCCGACGTTCTCAGAGAATATTCGTGGTCTGACCCATCGAAACGGCCTCCTTAAGGCTAAGGGAAGGCCTGAAGTTGAGGGAAGACACTGCATCGTATAGAAACCGCGGATATCGGACCGCATCAGCGACCGGAATGAAGGATCACCATCGCCACAATCCAGACTTGGCATCAAAAAGCGCTACCCCGGAAAGCGGCCAGGGACACGTTCAGGGTACCCTTCGTCGCCCTTCGCCTCCGACTCCCTTGAAACTCCCCGTTCGTCCCGTAACGGGACCCATGTCTCAATTCGGTTGAATTCATCTTGCTCTGGCTACCGCAGAGAACCAATAATGGGCGCCGAGATTGTGGACTGATGCGAGTGTAGTATCGCGCGGGGGGTGACGCCGCAGAACCCATTCCGGAGGCATCAGCAACGGGATCTGCGACCCCTTTATGTATTGGGTTTCCGGTGTTGTTGTGACAGTCTACCACCAGTTTTTGGAAGGTCATAATACGATTTGGAACCGCTCAAAGGCCAATGACAATCAAGTCGGCGCAAGTGTGGAAACGGAGGTATGGGTCTACAGGGAGGGTTTTAGCCGTTCAAGGACGGGATGTCTTCAGTAATTGCCTGCTCAATGTTTGGCGGGGACTATGTTACCTAATATTTGTTTCGGTATATAATTAGTAGAATGGTGTTGTTACTTGTAAGTTTGGTGGGCGGTTTGAGTAAGCGAAGGGGAGTAAGTAAGTGGGGGGAGCAGAGGGCAGAGCAGAAGGGGGCGGGGGAGGTATGAACTAACGTGAAGAGATGTGCGTAAAGAAGGCCCTCAATCCAAAAAACACGAAAAGCAACGACAAACCAACCAACACAACACAACTCACTTTGTTGGTTTGACGTTGGTTTGCCACATTCAATCATATTACGCACAACAACGAAGCAATTTGACGGTGCTCTCATTCACTACGAGTTCGTGGTAGCGGACTCAGAACCAGTCGAAGAACTCGGGTGGAACTCAGCGCAAGCGCGCAGTGAAAGAAGCCAGGAAGAAAGCATTCCTTTTTCGCGTTCTGATCTTAAGTTCGATTTGAGTTTCCGAACTCGTTGAGTCACTCGGTCCAAACTGGGGCCAAAACGTGTTTTCGACAGGGAGGAACCACACGACGTTGGACACGATGTCTGATTTTCCAAGAGCTGCGGTTCAAATTACAGATCTAGATCGCAGCAGAGAACGCCAGTCAGACGCAGCGAAACGCTTTTTGGAACTATTGATCACATCAAGTTTACAGCGCGTTGGACACTGTGGACATTGGTGTTTGGACTCAGGTCTGGACTGGTGCGGTGCGGGATGCCTTGAACTGTGGGTTTCCAAGGCAACATGATCATTTCAAACTCAGACGAGGCAAGAGGCACTGTTGATTGAACCAAAAAAAGCATGCACTCTCCCAGTGCCAGCACAGGCGCTCTGAAAACTTGCGGCATTTTTGCCTGTGGTTCAGTCTGAAAATTCCGTGTTCAATTTTCGAATATCATCTTTCTGTGTTCCATAAACAGATCTCTGAGCAGGCGCGCAATCATCGCATGACTCTCTGAATTGATTTCGAATAGGGAGTTCGTCTATGGGCCTGTTTATTTGCTTCGGCGGCAGACATTTCACGACGTTTTGAAAATGTTTTGCGTGTGTTTTGCGCGATCGGATATAAAATCAGGACAGCGGGTCAAGGCAGAGAGGCTACCAGTAAGAACACGATCGTAAAAGTAGCGAAAAGTAGCGACCATCATAAGAATAACAAGAAGTAAACAAAAATGGTCGCTTCAACCCTCAAATTCGTCTGCCTCGCCGCCGTCGCTCTTGCCATGACGGCTTCCGGTGTCGAAGCCCATGGCAAACTCTCAGACCCGGCCGGTCTCAACATTGACCCCAACGTCGCCCAAACCTCCCAGAAAGACGTCACACGCATCCGCGGCAACGAAGCCGAAGCCCCTTGCGGTCGATTCCAGAATGGACGTGGTGATGCTGTCAACCTCGCAGACGCCGATATGACCCCCCGCATGCTAGTCCGGCCTGGCGCCGCCGCTCAACTTCAATGGTTCCAGCAAAACGGTGACGGTGCGGGCCCGCTTACCGCTTCGATTGACCCGACTGGTACTGGCAGGAACTTCCAGGCTATTGAGATGAACAAGCAGTTACCGGGGAAGAACGGGAGGAACAATCAGAACTCGAGGAAGAACGTTCCAATCTCGGTCAACATTCCGAAGAATTTGGAGTGCAATGGACCGAACAACTCGTGCTTGTTGAGGTTGCAGAACCCGCTTGGGTTCGTCTCGTGTGCTCCGATCGGGGTCAGGCAGTAAAAGGATGCGAAACGGGAAAAGCTCTTTCTGTACATAGCATAACTCTGAACATTCTGTACATACACAATTTGTAGATACATCTGACATGATTTCTTTGGTCGATGTTCGTGTCGAAGTTTGTAAACATATTCTTTTGTGGGTTTTACAGTAAACTAAACATTATACAATTGGAGCAAATATTCCCATCAATCATTCAAAGATATCGGTAGACTGAAGTGAGAATTGGAGCCGTTGGATGAGCATCCACCTTTACCAATACATTCTCACGCTCAACGCACCTTCCCCCACTCCATTCCTCACAGTCACCACAATAATACCTAGCGTGGTGCATGTTGCACTGCCCGCATTTCCAAGTGCATTCAAGGCGACACACCCGTTTCTTGCACCTCCCACATTGTTCACGCTCTCCACCGCTGCACGCGCCGCGGCGAAAAACACCGCACTGCTGACATCGAGAAACCCATCCTCCTTCTTCAATCCATTCTTCCTCATAGTCGGGTTCGGCGTTTTGGCAGCAAGTGACGCAAGCCCACCGTCCACAATCAACACATCGTGGGTTAGGTTCATCGAGCAAGCACCGATTGGTACAGATCCAGTAAATCTCCTCACAACCGCGAGAAGTGGTTTGTCTTCTCAAGCTCGTATTCATCCATACCCTCCTCATCGAGTGTCTTTTCGTCGAATCCGTCGCTCTCTTTGCATAAGTATCGGTTGCAATTGTCGCATTCTCGAAACCTGTCGTCCCTGCATGCGTGACAGGCGTGGCCGCTCTCCTTTAAGCAAATGTCGCAGGTTGCGTTCCATAAAAAGCTGATGTTCCAGCGGCACAACGGGCTGTTGAATATCTGTGGGCTGTGTTGGGAACGAGGATACTGCGGATGAGATTGAAGATATCATCTACCACACCGAAAATCTCCTTGGCTCTGGATTCGTCGAAGTTATGCAAGTCTCTCTGGTGTTCGTATCGGTTTTCCCCAGACCCCACACCCACAAGAGAAAGCTTTTCCAGCCTCGTCGTAGGCTTGGTTGAAGTTGATCGAGGGGTTCCGAGCGACACCTTCGACTCAGAGGAGGCGCCGTCACAACCGACCCAGGCCTTGAACCTGTTTCGTAGGTCAAAGACGTCAACTTTGGGGCACCACATCACGTTCAGGACACCCAGGTTGGGGAAGCTCTGCATCAACTCGACAATGGAGGCCGCAGTAATGTTGCTGCTGTGAAGATTGATGTCATGAACAGCGTCGAGAGCAGACCTACTCCTCGCTTGATGCATATTCTTGACCATGTTGTGGATGACGGCGTCTGTAACTCTAGGATAGAACGCGGGTCTGCCTGGCTGGTATTTTTGTGCGAAAGTGATTCGTCGACAGAAGACGCCGGTCTCGTAGATGTGTTGAAAAAAGTTTTTCGACGTGGAAGCGAGTTTGACCAAGTACTGAACGGGGATGGGGGTCTTGCGGTCATAAACACGCACGTCTTCGACAGTGTAACAGTGGCAGATGATCTGTAGAAGGAGTTCGACGGGGAGATTGAGGAGAGGCCGGCGAGGGAGAGTTCTGGGGGACCATGGCGGTCTTGGTTGGTAGGGTGGGAACGGTGCTTGGTGGGAGCGAATTCGTGTCCTCAGGAAGCTCAGGAGGGTTGGTCATTGGAGCTACAGGCAGAAGTAAACACGTCAGCAAGAGGGGAAACACGGATAACAGGATAACAAGAGACAAGTTGAGGCAAACTGGCACATACCAAGGAGGGGGTGTGGACTCGGAAGGGCGACTCCGGCGAATAGTAGAGACGATGGAAGTGAAGCGATGTCTTTTTCCGGTGATTGTAGAATAAAAAAAAAGACATCTGACTAGGGTTTCTGTCGAACGCGGTCACTGCCAAATGAGGAAAGTGACACAGATGTTCAAAACCTGAAGGGAACAAAGAAGACGAAGCGACAAGTTACTTGTGCTTTTTGTTTTTCTTTCCCGTCCATTATTTTTTGGGTTCAATTTTGTTTGAGACTTGGCATATCCGATATTCACCCTATACCTCGCCATATTTTCTGAAAGTTCTGACACGTTTATCTATTTGAGACTTTGGCCGGTAGTGAACTGTATATGTATAATCTTCCCCCTTGTTTTTCGTGCACAAAAATCTTCCAGTCTCAACTGTGCCTCAATTGATAGACAAGTGAACTCAGAGTCTCAGTGACAGACATGTAATATGAAGTGCGTAGTGAAATCTGAAAAGAGGAAGTCAGAGAGAAAATCGCCTTATGAGGATTTGGACAAATCAGTTGGTTCATTGTGCCTCAGAATAGTGACGACACAAAAAATGTGCTGATTAGAAAGTACTGAACCAAGTGTGATGTAAATAAAATAGAACTTACTGGAGGAGGGGGTAGGGGAAGGAGAAAAGCACGAAATAAAAATATACTGTGCACGATAGACTATATCCGCATTGGTCCAGTGGTTAGGATTCCGCGCTTTCACCGCGGCGGCCGGGGTTCGATTCCCCGATGCGGAATTTTTATTGCAGCAATGCTGCACATTATGCGTTTTGCAAGTTGCAATATTTTAACCTACCGCATCTCCTTGATGCTCCACCCACACCAGGAGCTAGCTCCTGGCCACCGGGTGGTTAGCCACACGTGAATGAAGCACGATGAGTTGTATTACAACGAAGAGTTGCTGATATGGTATTTAGGCGGTAGCTGGTGATGAGCGGAGCGAATGCGTTATCTACATATTTCCGTCAGATGTAGAAGACGTGGCCTTTTTGGTAATTGGTTGTGTGAAGTGTTGTCTTTGTGTTGTCTTTGTCCAGGTCTTTGTCAGTCGCCTTCAGTCTGAGGGGGTTTATGGGACTTTGCTCTTGATAGATTCCAATAAGATATCTAATGCTACATCGAGACCCAACCCACGATCATTTTCTTCCCCTAATGCCTGTCGCCACCACCATACCCCTTTCCCCTCACCAATGTCTTCTTTTTGAACGGCCTCGTCCTCGTCAAAAGCCTGGACCCCTTTGAAAGCGCTAACCCAATCGTCCACCGAGGTATCATAGACACCCTCCTCCAAATACACACCCACACCAAGAACGTCCCGACATAATGCCCTACCCCACAAGTGTTGATCAAAATCGCGCATCACTGGGCAAATAATTTGCGGTACACCAGCAGCAAGACACGTTTGAAAGGTTCCGATGCCTCCATGATGAACTGTCGCAGAAAAAAGTCCACTCTGAAACCAGGTTTGATAATCGTTCAAAGAGATACCTGTTTGTGAGGTTGTTGCATCATCGGTGTGCTGATTGAAAAGGAAGCAAATTCGAGATCTGAATTCTTTTTGGAGGCGGTTCCAGCGCTGTGGCCATTTTCGACGGTGTTGAGTGGATTGGGGTGATGAGACCGCCCATATTGCCTTCGCGTCCACTTTTTCAAGTGCGGAATGGATGTTGCGAATTAGTTTCTCCTCCGCATCCGTGTTGCCCCATGCATTCAGTCGAAGAGATGCCATGGAACCGAATGTCACGAAAAATACACGAGTTCCGCTCGATTTCGTCGAGGCATACGAGTGGATATCATATTTGGATTCCGAATCGGAAAGGAAACTGCTGATTGTAGCTGGCAAAGGGTAAGACTTCGACTCCTTGGATGCATCTCCTGTCGGATTGGTGTTTGCTTCGAACAGACCTTTGAGAGGCTCCGCAAAAAATCCAGCTGCGATCACCTCGGGAGGCCAATCTTCGAATCCAAGAACAGCACGCGAACATAGAGCCGGGCTGACAGGATAAATCAACTTGGTTGCGACAGGAAGCTGAAAGTGTGTGTCCGCAACAGTATCCTTGATTATCGTCCCTTCAAAGGCTTCCCCTTGATTCTCGATAACAAAAGGCATCGGATCAAGACCCAGTATTTCCTCCCGAAAGTTCCCCAGATCGTCAATAAACATTCGCCACATCCAGTGTTGAATATGTGCCATCGACACCAACGGTTTATCGCGATGTGAGTTTGAATTTGGGGCGAGCAATAGCTCCACAAGCGCGGGAGCAGTTTCTGACAGCATTGCGGCAAAATTCGGGGGCGGAGGCACGGTTATCGGTGCGAGAAACGATGAGACTGCGACACTGGGGATGCGGAGCTTTTCGGCAATGGACCTTCAGGCGTTTCCCATGGAAAACGCAAAGGAAATACAAAAAATCATCTCAGAAAGGTTAAAAAAAAGGAACACGAAGAAGACAAATTACTACGAGTCAAATTCAGTGAGACTGTGATTATGCCGAAATCAACACACCATCCTTCCAGGCAAAAAAGATTGAACACGATAGCCTCTGCATCGTGACTCAGTTGAACCAAATCTTTTTGCTCGACTTGTCTTTGTCTTCGATGTTCTATACCTAATGGCCTTAAATACACCTCATACGTTAGAACGAATGGTTTCAAATCAACTCAATCCAACCATGATCCTATGCAAAGCCAGATCCTTTCGTCTAGACCTTGTGTCGGCATATTGGTATCATGTCAACAGTATCAGTACGTCCAACGATTCAATCCGAACTCACCGAGATCGTCATCAAGATGCTCGTCCATATTGCTATTAGCCGCAGTTGTTTGATGGGTTGCTGTCGCGACGACGCCCCCGAAACTCCAGGTCTGTACGCTTCGAAAAACAATATCCGCCTTCACCCTGCTTTGAAATGTTTGTACCAAGTCATGATGTGTTATGAAAATGACGGCAAACTCAGGATTTTTGAGCCTAGTGGAAGGGCGTGTAAGAGAAAAGAGTGTAAGGGCGTGTGAGCAAAAAGTTCACGAATCGTTTGTACATGCAAGGGTCTACTTAAATTTGGCCGCTATCCAGGCCGCTATCCCAGTGAGAAAAGCAAGGAGGAGGCGTGTTGTAGGAAACCGGAAGTAGACTCGGAATGGAACTTACTTTAATGTGTGGGCGAGTTGTAGCGAAGGCAACACGTCGCCTAGGGTGCCTGAAATTGAAAGCAAGGGTCATATATTTCGTTAGGATAGCGCTGAGTGTAACAAGGATGAACATCTTCACGCATACCCAATGCCATGAAGTGAACCCGCATGGTCGTCTGGTCGTCGTTTGAGTTTGTGTGTTGATACAGGTCACACAGCGTGCACTAAGTTTAGGCAGGTCGACAAAAGTCAGGTGGTGTGTTTTCGTAAAAACCATGAGGACATTTGTTTTGATATCTTCTTGTACATTTAATATTTCGACCCCGTTTTTCGTCATGTCGAAGAAAACTTCATAAAGATTCTATATGATTTTTTTCGGTTCCCTTGACTCGGCCGGTTCCCTTGACTCGGTGTAGATCGAATAAATGATGTTTTGGTGTTTTGTTTTGATATGATCAATTGGGGAACGTATCTATGCCAAAATGGATGTCATATTCAGATTCCTTGGGTATTTTTACATAAGGCTTGATATCTACAATTTTAGTATATGATGTATTTAGTGTGCAAGGGATATGTGATGTTTGTGGGTTCTCGCGATTTACTAGTGTTTTGCTTGTCAAGAATGGGCAATTTCAAATGTAAACGACATTTTAAACACGTGTCATATCGACAAGCGGTTTTCATGGTTGGATTCCTTATGAGTGTCGCTATCCGAGGACATATTTACTTTGATGAGATATTCAATTTGAATGTTTGGTAGAGGTTTTGGTAGGTTAGGTGTGCACACAAATGTCGGGGAACGGGAAACTTCAAATGTTAATCGGTTTTTAACCACTTGCTGTATTGACAAGCGGTTTTCATGGTTGAGTTCTTGGTGAGCTTCTCTATTAGATACCTTGATTGTGAATGTGATATTATCGACTGGTGAAAACATAGTTGCTTCCGCTTTTGATAGATGTGTGGGATACAGGACTATGGCTGGGATATGCCATACGTCAAGATTCTCTCTGCCGGTAACGTGGTGTGGCACTCCATGCCTTCATCTCCCGTTAATGTGGTGTGGGACTCCATGCCGTCATCTCCTATTGCCACATCAGACTCCCCACCCTCATCTCCTGATATGCTGTTGAACATATCCTCATCACCTGTCCTTTGGTCCGAATCCTTACTAGCATCACCTGTTGCCGCATCGGATTTTTTACCTCATCTCCCATCATATCATCGGCACCGTCTTCCCCCCCTGACGCGAACTCCTCGACATCCCCTCCCTCTGGCAACCCACATCCTCGCCCATATACTAATCACTATGCAAAGAAATAAACAGTGAATTGATGTATTTTACCTCAGTGCCTTGTATTTGGTTTTCTTTACTTTGACTCGTATCCCACACAATCACTGTAGCATTATGTAGTTTGTATCCTGCTGCTCCGTACTTGTTTCTTGACGATGTTGGTATATGTATAATACTCTATGTAACAGCTGGACTTGGATTTTTGCTATCCTCCTCCTCACAGCTCGCAGCTCTGAACATGGTTTTGATGTTTTTGGAGCTCCGATTCTGATGGTTGCGCCCAAAAGCCACCCAAGCCACGGACAAAGAAATCAAAGGGTTCCCATACAAACTTCTTCTATGGGTTTGACCTGCGTAAAGTTTCAAACTCAGCTCTGCTTGCCCTTTCATGGAGGGAAACCGCCACGCAGTAAACTACAGGACGTCCGCTCATAACATTCAACGGTCCGACATGCTTGATGAAGCTAATGAAGCCAGTAGGTCCCGGACACCCGCAAGATCTCTTTCTCCCGAAAGCCAGCCAAGTTTTTGCACGATGAACAAGCCATTTCGGGCCATCGAGGTTGATGTCCACCCACCGAGTTCGCCGGCTGACAACTTTGATCGCACAGAGAGAAAGGGGAGATTGAAACCTGCCAACACAGCAAACACCTTGCCACACCTCTCAACTGTGCCCGTTGCGGCGACGACAACAAGGTTTTCTGCCGGTTCTCGAAGAACAACTGCCAGAACACCAACATCGCCTCCAATATCTCCCGCTGCGGAATCGCAAGCTTTCCCTTTGATACCGGGGCTTTCTTTACCTTCTACCATGCATCAGTCACCCCCCCTCATACAAACGATACCGTCTGCAACCCATATTCCGCCAACATTCCTTCCATCTATCCCAGCAATGGTACCGACGCTGCTTCCACCTTTATATCCGATGTATTCGCTTCCGACCTATCCGTACATGATTCCAAGTGTGGGAAACATGGCAGCAACAAGTACCCTGCCCAACCCTGCTCGAAGTTTGAGCAGAGCTCAAGATCAGCGTGCGAAACGCCGACCACAAACATCCGAAACCCATCATGAGGAGGTCGAGGGAATCCTTGCGGCTCAACGAAGAGAGGAAGCCGAAAGGAAACGGAGGGAGCGTCATACCAAGGTTTGGTTCATACTAGAACTGCTGTACTTTCCCCTGAAGGTTGGAGTTTAATCGTGATGTTTGCGTGTGATAATGGCAGGCAGCGATAACGATACAGCGATACGTCCGCGGATATAACGTTCGCAAACACTTCATCGATTTGAAACTGAATGATATGATGAAGTACAAAC